TTAAATATCTTATTCATTTAACATAAATACATAAATAATATAAGTTTATTTCAAATTATATAAATAAATATAAATAGGAGAAATGTCATAAACATAAATAACAAAATACGTTTGATCAGATGAAAAAAAAAGATACTACATAACAAGAAAAAATAATAAAACATTTTTTAAAAATAATCGATATTACATTTCTTTCTATAAGTATAATAAACAATTGTTTATTAAATTGAGGTTATTATAAAAAGTAGCTTCACTTCGCCATGTTGTATTTTACACTTGCGATTTAATCAAGCCTGACAGTAGAAGCAAAACATAAATAAAAATAGATAAAAAAGATTATATTTATATTTCGTAACAATTAATGATAATACTTTCCGAATAAAGAAACAAATAAAGATCATAGTTTGTTACTTCAAACTGAGATATTACATGCAATTTAAAATTTCATATCAACTAAAATCCTATTTGAAAACATGTAACACTTTTAGATTTTTAGGTATTAAAAAATAAGCATCACCTTTTTATCTCAATGCTAAATAGCACTTCGTCTCAATTTATACTTAAAAATATGAATCTGTATTCATTGTCGAAACACAACAGCCGTGGCGGTAACCCGTGTACACTACCAACATATGATTAAAATTTTATTTGGACCAAACTAAATAAAGCTGCGTTCTCATAATTGCATTATTACATTGTTTTATTTCCTAGTTCTTCTATATGTATAAGTATGTCAAAGAAATATCTTAAGAAAAATGTAAAACGTATTAATATCATAAGTAATATAATTAAGATATAATTACATTCTTCACTATTTTACAGTCAAAAATGAATTATAAATGTAACATTCATTGAAAATTTGCTATATATCGATCTGTTTCATATATACTTACTAAAAACATTTTTGTTTCTGCGATGAAGACTATGCTAGATGAAAAAATAAATTTTGTTAACAAGATATTAATAATTATTCATATATTATACTGCAAGTATTATACTTGAAGGAATTTACTTTAATTATGTAAATATTACAAAATATTTAATAAATAAGGAATTTTTTCCAATACTGAATTGCTATAATGAATTAATAATTTGTTAAACCATATGACAGAATTCAAAAACAAATATAAAAATATTAAACAATACATAGTAAAACGAATATAAAATTATTGTTTCAATAAAAATACAAAAATATATAAGAAATGTCATTTACTTTTCAAATCGATAATTTTATAACATTTTAATTTATATTGTTTTAATGATATTAAAAATTGATGTGTAATGAGTTGATTAATCCCATAAATCACTTTTGAACACTTGAAACTTTCGAGCGCATGCTCTAACTTGTATATTATGGTTAAATGTGAATTTGCCTGTTGTTAGTCTAGTTGTGATATATGTACTCTTACGCGTTAAGTCAATGAGTTACAGTAGATCTTAGATATTTGTCCATTAATATATAAAAGCTGATAGTATATATATGTAGAAGAGTAAAATTTTGATAAAAAAAGGAAATTTAAATCAAAATTAAAAAGGTAAAAACAAAAGAGAAAGAGAGAGAGAGAGAGAGAGCGTGCAGGAACCGAAACATATATATATGTATATATATATCATATGGTCATGTAAAGAGTGAGAGAGATTGGGTGGGAGGGAGTAGGAAAAGAAATTAGTGTATAAGAAGTGTTTTTTTACAATTTTTGAAGGACTTGTGAGGAAATATTTGTTAAATAAAATTGGTGATATAGTATCCGATACTGTGCAACCTAAAACGTATATTTGTTTTGAAAAATTCTTATATTTCATATTGCCACTGTCAAAGAGATTATACGCGATCCTTTTGAGGACGCGTTGTCGATTATTGTTAAAGTGGAAGCTTTAGAAAATGGCCGACAGTTGGACACAGAACGTTGTTTGCCGGTAAGAAATTATTCCACAATTATTTTCTAATGTATTTTAATGACAACATGTGAATAATTAAATAATAAAATGTATCTCTATGTATATAAGAATATTCAATAATACATCAACAAATTAGGTTGTAAAAGTATCAATATTTTTTAGGATTTGCATTTGTTTCCTTCTTATTTTTTCTATTTGCTAATTTTATTATATATTTGTACATGTACAAAGTTATTGGTTATAAATTATTGTATCAATTTAATTTACTTTTATATGTACATAATAAAAAAATTAAATCTTGAAATTTTGTTAAAATGCTTTTGCATATTTCTATATATTTTTTTATATATGTATGTAAAATAAGTATGATATACATTTATATTCATTGTTATTTATAATACTAAGAGATATTTATTATACATATGTATAAACATATATATATATATACAAAAATAATGTAATATTTTCATTAATAAATAAAAATTTATAATATTTTGTGATATTTGATCTAATGTTTTATCTTTTCTATTTTAGTTATTTTAAAAATGGTATGTGTCGCGAAGGAAATAATTGCAGATACCACCATACTGAAGGAGTTAGGAATGATGGAAATAATGAAATAATATCTTCTTCTATCCCATCTTTGAATACTGTTTGTCGCTTTTTTAAACAAGGTATCTGTAAATTTGGAAATCAGTGCCATTTTCGTCATAATACTGAAACTGTTGATAATATCTTGGTGAATGCAGATTCAGTAGAAAGTTCATCACCTGGACAACACACTTCAAATATCTCAACAACAATAAAGAATGTGTATGTTGTCGTCAGATGACATTATAGTTCAGCAAGATTTAAGTCATATTACCAGTTGAATATTACATAATGTATTGCAATATTATATATAGAAATATGAGATATACACATATGCATGTACATATGCACACATACACATACACCTATGACAGTTAGGTTAATAAGAAATATAATGTGCTACAATATATTTATATATTTCCAGTAAAGAAAATACTCATATTGCTGAAGAGTGGGTAAAGGCACCAGAATTTATACCTTCAGATATGGCTGGATCATCATCCAAAAATAAAGCTTCTACAACCTCAGGAACATCTACAATGTCAATATCTTATGCTCAAGCTGTAAATCCATCTGGTCAAGCATCTAATCCATCTGTAGAACCTTTATGTCCATATGCAGAAGCAATTGGAATTTGTAAGAAGCGTAATTGTACATATCTACATGGAAATATTTGTGAGTTGTGCAATCGTGCTGCACTTCATCCATACAATGAAGAACTTCGAAAGAAACACACAAATGTAATTATATAAGTATATACAATGTAACATAATTGTGTTACATTACTTAAATAGAATGATCAAATTATATAAAATTACACTTCATTATTAATATTTATGTTTCAGGCATGTGTCAAACAGCATGAAGTAGACATGGAGCTTTCATTTGCTATTCAGCGTAGTAGAGAAAAATCTTGTGGTGTTTGCTTTGAAGTTATAATGGAAAAGGCATCTGGACAACAAAGATTCGGTATTTTACCAAATTGTAATCATTGCTTTTGTTTAAGTTGCATTAGAAAGTGGAGACAAGCTAAACAGTTTGACATTAAAATTATAAGAGCTTGTCCAGAATGCCGTGCTACCTCTGATTTTGTATGTCCAAGTATGTACTGGGTAGATACTAAAGAAGAGAAAGAGAAATTGATAATGGATTACAAATGTGCATTAAGGTAGGATAAAACATGTGTTGTTATAATGTTTAGTTAAATCATATTGTTTATTTATAGCACCAAACATTGTAAGTACTTTAATAAAGGATGTGGTAAATGTCCATTTGGCAACAAGTGTTTTTATCTACATGCATTTCCTGATGGTACTAAAACAGATGTTGGTCCTCCTGTTCGTCAACGACGTTTTGATGATATGGATGCCGATATTTTTCGTGTAAGTTCAACATTTCATTGTAATTGGTTTTATCGGTTTATTTTGATATACAACTTCTGAATTACTAATCATTATATCAATGTAGGAAAAAATGTACAAAAAATTTTTAAATTTCTTACAGCAAGTTATTTTCTGGGACTTTATTGAAGAAAGAGAGAATCGTTTGCTACATAATATAGATGATGATATAATTTCCCTATTTTCAAACTCAGAAGAATCTGACTGGTCTGAATACTAGTTAATTTTCAGATTACTAGTTATATTAATTCAGTAACCTGCTACTGTTGCTGTTAACTGTATCATCTATTTCATCTACCACTTATATGTGGTTTCAATGGCTGAATAGACAAATAGTTTACGAATTGTTTGAATGGTTATGATTTAAAAATAATTTCAGCTATGTTAATAAAAAATTTGTGTGCTTTGCTTGATGATATTTACACGAGAAATATGTAAATAATATCAAGTTATAATAACAACAACAAAAATAATAACGAGGAGGTTGCAGTCGCATGTACGATGACAAGTTTTTAAATGTTACATAGCCACTTTGTAATCGCTTTTGTTTGTGTATTTTGACCAATATTGTTACAACTAATACTCAATCATAAGAAATACGCATCAACTCTATTACATCAGTGGTCCAAATTAATTCAATTAATAAGATATACATTGATACAATAATCTTTTGCCAGTATGAAAATAAAAAATTTTGTTTCTATTCTCACAATTTGCGTTCAAAGGTCTTTTTTTTATAAGAATAAGTTTATGTATTTCAAAAAATTTCTGTAAGAAATCAGCTTTTCTTACTTCTTTAAGCAGAATAGGTCTATTATGATAATTTAAGATTCTAAATGAAATTATTTTCGTGAATATTATTAGTTTTATTAATCTTTGGCTTGAAACTTAACGCTTGCTTAAGAATAGATTTAATAAAAAAAAGAAATATAAATTTATTCTTTTTTTCTTTATTTTCATTCTTTTTTTTTTTTTTTTTATAACATAGTGTTAGTAATTTAGAATTAATTTTAATTTTGTTTGGGTACTTATTCTGCAGGCAAAAATTTAGGCTCAACTTTTATTACATTTAGTTGTTATTTGACTTGAAGAATTAATGATTAATAGGATATCAAATTTTAATTCACAAATAAAAGAGATAATAAAATATATAAATAATCTACTGTTTATAATAATCAGTATATAATGTCTATTTGATAATTGATTCGTATTGAAGATACAATTAACATGTTTCGTCCTACCTCCTGTTATGGCTCTGCAAACATTTAACAATTCCTTAAATTATTGAACTGTGTAGTGTTAGTTTCTAATTAATAGTTTTAAGGTAAACGTGATAAATTGCGCAAATCGAGTGTATTGTGTAATAATTGTATGTCTAGGCTAGTGATTCTCAACCTTTTTCATGTACCATCTAATTAATATGTGATTGAGTCATGTACCACTCTGTAAGTAGTGTATATTAATTGTAGCATAACACACTATATATAATATACAAATTGTTAGAAATTGGTTTAGCCCATGTACTGAAAATATTCAATGTACCACTAATGATACATGTACTATACATTGAGAACCACTGGTCTAGGCGATAGTATGAAAATTTGGTTGAATGTGTGTGCTGCTGAATATAATAAAAGAAAACCATTTTTGGCGAGTATGCACAAACAGATTCTAGATTTAGGGAAAAAATATAACAAATAAAAATTATTTTATAAACGACAATTGAATTCAAAGCTATTTAGAATCTTTATTGCTTTATCTTTGTATTTTATTGTTTAGTATATTTAGGTATGTAAAAGTTATATTTTTTAAAAGGGTAATATTCAAAAAAATAAATTATTATTTTGTATTGATGAGTGAAGGCAATCAGAGCTTTATAAGTAGAAATAAAAGCCAAAGAATATGGTATCAATTTTTTTTGATAGAGCTACTTTATAAAAATGATTTTTTAATGTATTAAAAGAATTGTTCTGAATGAGTATTAGGTTATCAAATTAATTCAAAATATTTTGCGCATATGAATTCCATTTATTGTTACACGTAGTTATAAGGTACACTTTTCTTTATCAAACTCATCTATCCTCAGTGTTGCCTTTAAAGTATAAGATAATGGCATTGTTTGTTAATATGAGCAAATATCACTCAAAGTTTCCTCAGACAATCTTTCTATAATAAAATATGCAAGTTGTTTATATTTTCTATAGAATTTCTATACTGTTAATTTAATAGTGAATTGTTATAATTAAATATTTATTGTTATTGTTAACGCTGCTTATAAAAATATTCGGAATGTTTTTTATATTGTTCTTTCTGTAGGAAGCAAATGTATCATATTTTATCTTTCATTTATATTCATCTTAATACAATATTAATTACAATTAAAAAAACATATAAAAAAATTAAAATATTGTATCATTTTTGCGTGTTATGTACATATTTCTTTCTAAAATTTCATAACGAATTGATTCAAAAATTAATGTACATGCGTTAACAATAAAAATAATAATAGTGCTGTTTGTCAACACTGAGTGTAACCGCTTATAAATTGTAATGTTTCCTTTTCTTGAAAGTGTATGTCTCTATAGTATTGTGCAAAGAAAAGAGATGTATAGAGTGCCAATAGATCTGATTGTAAGTTCAATGTTAATTTATTTTGTGAAGTGCAGTTGTAAAACGCGTTGTCGCGTAATAACTTACGCATATATGTATTTGCAAGTGCATTATACGAGTGTATGAAGTTAGAATTTCTACATAGTCTGCGTGATAGCATGAGACACAAACGTTTAAAGTTAAGTTAAACTTAATTGGTATTGGATTACATAACATGCATTTTAGATATAATTAATATTGATTTTTATTTTTAATCTTATCATATCGACGAATTTATTAGATAAGACTTTACTTATTATGCAATTCAAAATTTAATTTTCTTTTCGTTATATTTTATTCATTTTAATATTTATCTTGTTCTACAAAAAATATACATTATATAGAGAAATAATAGTTTTTATTTTTACTCTATTAACACATTGTATGACGGTCAAATTTTAGCTGTCAGCAGGAGATAAATAATTAAAAGAAAGTACATTAAATGAGCCTCTCATTTGCCAAATCGATTAACTCCAAAGAGTAAAATATAGAAAATTATTTTAAGTATAGAAAGTTAAACAACAATCAAATGATTTGACATCAAAATTTTAAAAAATTCAAAAAATGGAGTTAATCGCTTCAGCTTGTGAACGGTTCAAATACTATTCACCTTTTCACAAAATAGTGTATAGTATATATTTCAAAAAAATGTATTATATTTCTACTAAATGCTAAAATTAAGGCTAAATAGAAAAGGAACGGTAACAAGTGCCTACAAGCATATGTATTAGTAGGTTACTATTTCGGGAAAGAAATCGTGAATCGGCCAACGCCGATTCGCGATATTTTATTTTAGAAAAACAAATTATAAACCGGTCAGTGACCTATGCGTGACATTTTTTTAGAAGCAAATCGAAACCGTTACCATTATGAAAGGCTATTTTTGGTAGCAAGACTAAGCTGCGCGGTCTTTACCGGGAGGTGAAATGCAGGTCGACGAAATCGTAATCGTGGCCGGGAGCGAATAGCGAATGCGGAAAGTGACGTGCTTTTTATGGGAGCAATCGCTAATGGGCTGAATCATATCAGCCTCACGGACGTGAGTCGTTCGGTTTGGAGAGAGTTGAATTATAGCGTATTTCCGTGTGTATAGTTACATTATTTTAGTGTTCTTTTCTTGTGTTAAATTAGTTTTCCGAGTTTAGTGTTCGTATTATTCTGTTTATATTGTTCTGTCCGTTTTCGGTGTCTCAAACCGCTCGCGCAGACTCGATATTCCTTCATTTAAAGAAGGAACATATAAATATTTAATTCCTGTACACTGAAGACAATAAAACTTGTTTTCACCATCCTACAATAATAACAACAGAATCACGGTATCACGAGACCAGGGTGCAATGTGTTAAATGTAAACACATTAATTAAAAAAAAAAATAGATTTTTTTATTATCTAATTTATCGTTAGGTATCGCCTTTCAAATTTTCATCTTTTTTTAAGCCGATATGATTTTTCAATAACCGAAAGTTTTATCATATAACAAAGTTCACAAGGAGAGTGCAAGTCCTGCGGGTCACCGATTTAGTTGAAACTTTGCAGGTTTGTAGATATCGTCATGCAGTTTTAGAAAATATATCATTATAGCGGCAGCTACTCAATAGTTTTTGAAATATTTACGATTAAAGTTTCATTACTTTTGTAATTACAGATTTATTTCCATCATTATACAAGTGCAGTCATGGCCTAAAAACGATAGATTAATATTCCCGTGGTAATGGACCGTGATTCGATTCTCGTCCCATAGCTGGTAGTTTTTTAATCTAGTTTTAATTGTGTTCATTTTTCGTCAATGAAAAAATTGTAAATAAAATTTCTTAATAAAATAATTTATTTTTTCTACAGCATTCTTGTTTACTACAGGAAATACGAAACCTATCGCTCATGTAAGTATTAATTATTAAATTAAACATCCTATAAGAATATTGCCTATAATTCCAACTTTGCTGTGCAGCTATAAATTTTCATGAATTGATTACAAAAACTTGGCAATTTATTAATTTTCTACTGTCTAATTGATATCTAGTATCCAGTTCGAATACAAATTTTACCGCCTGCGATCAGCGCCATCTATGATTTTGGAATAGTTTCTCAAATAGTTTATTAACTCTGGTTACGTGCACCTAATATATTTTAATTTATTTTAATAAATAAAATCATATAGTTTCCTACATTCTTTAATAAATTCAGCCGAAACAGCGGTTTTAATTAGACAATCAGCATTCATTTTTTGCCTGGCAGGCGACAAATATGCAAAGGTACGCCTTTACAACGCAATTATAAAATTTCATAAATTAAACACAGAAATTGAGCAATTTGTTAATTTTTCTCCAAGTGAACAGGAGAGTGCATGGGAAATGAGAAAAAATTACAAACAAACGCCGGAAGCATTGTTGTGTTCATGCAGGTGTGCCTTCATCACGAAAAGAATGTAAGTATTTGTCTTAACCTAACCTTTAGTTATAATTAAATAGTGTAAGTTAGAAAAGACAATATTCTGTGGAAATAAACAGGCACGTGCAACAATAGAAAAATATTGGACTCATGAAATATCATCAACGTAGATGCCAAGAATTATACTTTATAGCGAGAAAAAATTGAAGCAGCAATATAAATATGTAAAGTATGATATGTCTATTGCATTCCAGGTCGGTTAACCATATGACATACAAGATAGAAATCTTTGATGGTCAAATAAAAATTCAGAAAATGGAGATGGTTTTGGCAGCAAAAAGAATTACAATTAATTTAGGTGATGGCCTGTTATGACAACAAGATATGGAGAATACAGTGAGATTGAAAGGTATGTTGTATTCCTGATCTAAATGAATATTAATACCAGTGGTCAAAGTTAATAATCATCGCTAATGTGTTAGGTTGGAATAAAAGAAGTGAGAAGAGGAAACGCGTGATGCAGAATAAAGAAACAGAAAAGAGGCAGCATATGTATCAGGAGAGAAACATGTGTGGCATTGACTTGCAAATATGAGGATCATTGGAGAGATGGAGAATGAACACTTGGTAATAATTAGAAAAGGTAAAGATAAATTGCATATAGAGTCTGAATGTTGGTAAATGATAAATGTAGAAAATTAAATGTAAGCTATTACATAGAGAAATGTTGTTGACCAGCAGTAATGTGTTATATTTCAGAATGGTAGAGCTGAGGTACATAAAGAAAAGAGAGAGGTTTGAATGAAAGCAGTGAGAAGAGGAAATGATCTCACAGGTACAGGGGAAGGTGGTAAAAGCATATATGAAGAACCATTTAAAGTGAGACTATATTTAGAAACAAAAGGAATTCCTTTCTTATTCAAAAATAATTATTGGATATATGTGTTTTAGGACGAATTTCATACAAGATTACATTTTCGTCGACGAGGTTCAATTGCCGTGGCAGAGATGACAATGAATCCCAATTCTTCTTTACTCTTGGTTCTACACCAGAATTACAGAATAAACATAGAATCTTTGGTAAAGTTACTGGAGAAACAATATATAACATTCTTGAACTTGAAGAAGCATCTGTAGATGAGGTAAATTTAATGTTTACAAGAAAATATATCAATTCTTGATATAAATATAATATTTCCTCTGTTTTGTAGAATGATAGACCACTTTATCCTCCAAGATTTATAAAAACTATAATATTGAACAATCCATTTTCTGATATTATACCAAGAATAATAGTACAGGAAAGTGAAGAAGTAAAGAACAGTTCAAAAACTAAAACAACCAGAATAAAGTAAAAATGATATATGTTTGCAGAATTTAGCTCTGAGAATATTATTCTTTGCAATTTACAGAGTATTCTTTGTTACAGAAATTTGAATCTGTTATCATTTGGTAAAGAAGCAGAGGAAGATGATGAAGAATCTGTGATATTAAATAAAAAGTTTAGTGGTATGGGCAAATCAGATCATGACCAATTACTGATCCAAAATAAAGCTCACAACCAGCTGTTGAACCACCTGGACCTCCAAATAAAAAAAGGAAAAAAGTCTGTAATAGCGATTGGGAAAGTGATGATGAAGTAAAAACTTAAGAAGAATTAGAAGTTATAAATAAAAAGAAAGAGTTAGTTTATTGTTTACATTATTACTATGTTATGGAAGGTAGAATTTTTCATTGATTTATATTTTCCAAGTAATGATGGAAAGGATAAAAAAGAAATTGATAGATATGAAAAAAGAAACGAAGAATTATGTTGTTAATAATTAACGTGTATATGTGAAACTTCCAAAGTGAATAAAAGGTACATAAATATATAACTATCGTAGTTTCATTTTCTTTTTACCAAGAGCAAAATCACTCGCTTTCATTTGTGACTTAATGTTCGTCTATAATTAATTCAACTTTTGTAATTGCATCGTGAAGGCACAGCCTCAGCGAGCCTTCTAATATAAGTTTGGATATGAATTCATTGTTATTTAATTAATTATTGGTGATTATTGCATAGAGTACTTGAACCATTGCCGAAGATAGTAATGGTTTGTCTTTCCATTAGTATAATGGAATAGCTAATAATTTCAGTTCATAAATTAATTATAGAAATTTGGAATTTTTCGCAACAGAAATATATCTATATTTGCATCATTGACGTTATTAAATATAAGAGGCATCGTTTGATATTTTACATCGATACTTTATCACATAGCTATTTCAAAGATGCAACATTTTCCCGCTACAAAAATACCTAGCACATCCGGCTGCAGCCAACTTCCAGTTGGCGGCAAGCGGGCATAACAGTAACATCGTGCAATATTCTCCCGCATCAAAATAAAACATTAAATCTCAGAACGTTTCGTGAAGTAGTGATATCGCTGATTGACGTCTTAATTACTTTATAAAGTTCAGGATTACTAACTGTGAACATTTCTACGGTGGTAATATACTACATGTGAAAAAAAGTTATGTTACATAGTGTAAATCGTATAACGATACACGTGGAAAATAAAGTGGTGTGAGTGCCGTATCCTAAGATACTACCGCATTGTCCGTTATTATCGGCTATAGAAGATTCTAGATTTTGACATTCCATTGCAACATAGTTATGTATTATCTCTTTTACATTCTAAATTTTAATTTTAGTTTAGAATATTTCATAACTACTGCATAGAATAGGCTGCTCTCAAACCAGTAGGACAATTATATTACAATTGAAGGTGCATATATGTACCAAAGTAACAGAAAGGCAGGTGCCTGTGAAATCGCTCTACACAGTATACTTTATTCACCTGTATTTCTGAAATTAGGCTTCTCGGTTAGATCTTTTCGGCATAACAGCGTAGAGTAATTTTTCCATTAACGGAATCGGATATTTTTTTTTCGGTTCCGAGCGTGCGTTTTCGAGAAATAGTGCCGAAAGTGTCAGTGGCTCTCAGACCGTGCGACGCAATTTACTTTTTTGGCTTCTATCTTTCGAATTATGCTTTTTGAATCGGATTTTTCCACTGATTCGCGTAGAGTGATTTATTCCTTAACGGGATTGGATATTTTTTTTCGGTTTCGTGTGTGCGTCTTTCTAAAATAGTGAGGAATGTGTGAGTGGCTCTCAGATCGTGCTGCGCAATTTACTTTTTTGGCTTCTATCTTTTGAATTAGGCTTTTTGAACCGGATTTTTTCACATATTCGCGTAGTGTGATTTTTTTCTTAAGGGGATTGGATATTTTTTTTCGGTTTCAAGCATGCGTTTTCGAGAAATAGTGCCGAAATTGTCAGTGGCTCTCAGATCGTGCTGCGCAATTTATTTTTTGGCTTCTATCTTTTGAATTAGGCTTTTTGAATCGGATTTTTCCACTGATTCGCGTAGAGTGATTTATTCCTTAACGGGATTGGATATTTTTTTTCGGTTTTGTGCGTGCGTTTTCGAGAAATGGTGCCGAAAGTATCAGTGGCTCTCAGATCGTGCTGCGCAATTTACTTTTTTGGCTTCTATCTTTTGAATTAGGCTGTTTGAATCGGATTTTTCCACTGATTCGCGTAGAGTGATTTATTACTTAACGGGGTTGGATATTTTTTTTCGGTTTCGTGTGTGCGTTTTTCTGAAATAGTGCCGAATGTGTCAGTGGCGCTCAGATCGTGCTGCGCAATTTACTTTTTTGGCTTATATCTTTTGAATTAGGCTTTTTGAATCGGATTTTTCCACTGAATCGCGTAGAAAGATTTATTCCTTAACGGGATTGGATATTTTTTTTCGGTTTCGTTTGTGCGTTTTTCTAAAATAGTGCCAAATGTGTCAGTGGCTCTCAGATCGTGCTGCGCAATTTCCTTTTTTGGCTTCTATTTCCGAAATTAGGCTTTTTGATTAGGGCTGTTTTATATATTAGTGTATAGTGGAATTTTCTGTAACGGGATTGGATATTTTTTTTCGGTTTCGAGAGTGCGTTTTCGAACAATAGCGCCGAATGTGTTAGTGGCTGTGAAATCGTGCTGCGTAATAGTGCATTTTCTTTTCTATTTCCGAAATTAGTCTTCTTGATTAGGTTTGTGCTATATATCAGTGTAGAGTGTATTTTTCTTTAATGATATTGAATATTTTTTTTCAGTTTTATGAGTGTGCGTTTTCGAAGAATAATGCCGAATATGTCAGTAGCCGTGAAATCGTACGCGTAATAGACATTTTTGACATCTATCTTCGAAATTGGGCTTTTTGATTAGATTTTGTTCTATACATCAATGTAGAGTGGAATTTTCTCTAACTGAATTGAATACTTTTTTTCAGT